CATATTTAAAATAAATAATTACAAAAATACCATTAGATAGGATTCTATCGAGATTTAGTTTCAATTTTGATAATTGTTAAAAATTATAGTTAGAACTTAAGAAAAAAATATTGAAAATATTTAATTACAGAAATACCATTAGGGTTTCTAGGATTGTCCAGCGTTTCTTTCTTTTATATATAAGATATGTTTTTCTTTACTAATTTTCTAACTATAATTTTCAACAATTATTAATCTCCTATTTTTCATCATTATACTCAAATCTTAAGAGATAAATATAGAAATTCGATTTATTAAATCTTAGCATTTATAATACTACATTATTTTTTTTTTCTATGTTAGTGTACTATATTTTCTTATTATATATTAAATTGATTATTCTTTTTCACTTTTGAAATAATATCCCGTGCATCGCACGGGAAAAAAATGCTAGTTATTGACAAAAAAGAACGCGCAGTCACATATTGAATTGTGTAGGCTCTATTATTTTAAGATAACCATGCGAGAGATGTAAATGACACTGAACAATGCATGCGTCATAAACTCGTCAGATAGCGAGTTCTCTTTCCTACACCTAGAGGCTGTCATTCTCAAACTACTAAGAGTGGACTTTACTTCCATTACTTATGCACAAATATTTATAATATCAAATAAATTATATTTAGTGGCAAAATGCAAAGTGATATCATTTGAAAAGAAGTTAAGTTAGAGACTATTTAGTTGTTGTACCACATAGGGCTCAGTAGACGTCGTAAACGAGTTGAGTCGACTCGAAAAAAACTCGAACTCAAACTTGAGCTTTTTGGTGAGTCGAGCTCGAGTTTTTTTTAATAGTTCGTTAACTCACGAACCGGTTCGCAAGCCTTCATTTTATTTATTTTCTATTTTTTATATATTATTTTTATTTAAATAATATATAATTATATAAAATGTTAAAAAATTAATATAAAGAGAAACATATAAAAATTCAAAAAAATATATATATAATTAACAGTTCATTATTATTTTGTAATTTTTTTTGTAAAATATAAATAATTTTTAATAATAAAAAAATAATTAAAAAAACAAAAATGAGCTTATGCTCCATCTTGAACTCGTCAAAATCGGCTCGAGCTCGAGCAAAAAAAATACTCGATAAACTCGAGCTCGAGCCTGCTAAAACAATCGAGTTCGACTCGTTCACAACCCAACCGCATAGTGTTTGGATCAAAAAATGTTTCTGAAAATTTGAAAGACAACACTAAATAATGCCCAATATTTTGAGAATCGCTCTGAAGTTAAATAATTCCTCCATTCACATTATATATATATATATATATATATATATATATATATATATATATATATATATATATATATATGTTATGTTATGTTTTGCACTTTAAAACAATTTTAAGGGTAATACATTGAGAGTTAGTAACAACCATTCGCACCCTACTTTATCATTTATCTTTTGATATAAAATTTGGAAAAAAAAGCACATAAATTTGATCCAAAGGGAATAAAATGTAACCTTTTGACAGCATAAAAAGCATAATATCATATCTTGCCAGAATATTTCCTATTGTTTTTAGAGTAGGGTGTGTAAAATGTTATCTTTCATACTTTGACATAAATGAAATCAGGACAATTGAAGGGGAATCTTTTGTATGTCAAAAGTTTAGCTGCACTCATGTAATTTTTATTCAAGTACCAGCACATATAAAATACACAAAGATACATAAAAAGAAAGGAAAAAAAGCACTATATCCATCAAGACCTTTTTCAATATGAACTGTAAATTTAGAAATTACTATTACTACGGGCGTTACAAGATGTTCGAATAAAAACGAGCAAAATATCTTTAATAAGGGTAGATGAGTCTATCTTGAAAAAGAATCAAAAACAAGAAATGGCCGAAATTGGAGTATAGAAAGTTCACCGTGTAATCCTGACCAGTAAAGGGTAACAGTGATCTTGTTCGTAGTTGGGCCAGGAGCGATCACCACCGTCGATTAAATTTTTATGCTGTCTCCAAATTTCTGTATCGTAGGCCTCAGTTACGGTGAATTGCAGCCCACTCTCCTTAACTTCCACCAGAAACTTATCTAACGAATCGCCTCTTTTGGGGCCAAAAAGTATTGCTTCAGATGGACCACTTTCTTTCAGCAAGCATCTGATTGTTCGAGCCAGGCTTTTGTGGAATTCCTTAAAGAAAGTGCTGCAAAAAGATGACCTTATATTACATAACCCTAGTTCTTGAAAATATTATGCATAAATAAATGTTTGATGGTAGTTGGAATAAAGCAATTACCAGTCACTCGCAATTATGACGTCAAATGCGCCGGAAATATCGGAGACTTGATGCTGATCCCAATGAAGTGTCATTGACTTCACCTTTGTACTGCCAAACGAAGCAGAGTTCGCATCTACGTTACGCTGTATATCTGCTTGTTAAGAAATTGAAACCAAACGTGAAAATAAATGCGGGAAACGTACACAAGTAATGCAATCAATCGATAACTACAAAGTTTAAAAAAAACAAATCCCTAAGATGTATTAAAAATGTTCCTCCTCTCTAAATACTAACTGATCCTATGTCACTCTAGTAATCGGCAATATCGTAATTTCCAAGTTCTAAAGCTGATAAAATCGAGTGAAAAGGATACAATCAACGACTTGAGGGTTTCCATCTGATATCACGACTTCTGATGCTTCGGTGGCCATAGCAATAACTAAGCCAGCTAACCCGTACCCGGATCCAAGTTCAATTACTCTTTTGTTCCTAGAAATAATCGAAAATGTATGATAAATTAGATTCAATAGAAATGAAATTTGGTATTGAAAATGAATCTGAAGTTATCGTAAACCTGAAGCTACCAATATGTGACATGGAATAATAGGCAAGTACATCCTCTGAAGGCCACTGACCTGATCGAAAAGAAAACGAGAAACTTATAAGCGAAAAAAAGATGTAAAAGTTATGTAACAATTACAGTTAGTACACTAATTAAAGAAATTAATATATCTAAATTTCTCTACGAATTGTGACTTCCATTATTTGAATTTGCAATAAAATATTCCAGTTTTGTATTCACAAGTGGCAATTATTTTGTCCTTTTAAATGAAATAAGCAAAATATCAATAACAATAACGAGATACAGTAGAAAATAATCGCAGGGTGGGTGCATAAATACATAGGTTGATTTTTGGACAAGACATACTACGAAAAATCGATATTTATCTAACTTATTTATGTCATCTGTAGATATTTATAAGGCTTCAATGGGCAAAGACGGCATATCACACAGGACCTAGTTGACATAGAGTTTCGTCTTATGTTTAATAAGTAGAACATATACATACGTCTTAGGACATGTTTCTGATTATTCATATGTCTAGACTGCCAATTACGAGAGAGCAATTTGGTTAATTACTGACAGAAGTTCTTCCTAAAAGTACTTCATATTGTCACTTCTTTGGTGATCAATGTTAATTGCACAACTAACACTTCAACCATCTTATTTGAGATATGCCATCAAAGATTTCAATGTATTTGACCATTCAGGAAAATCAACAGACTACAGTCAGCCCCAAAAGCTCACGAGTTCGTCTTGATAATTTCCAAGCCGATTTTAATGACACTAAATGAAGTCCGTATAATGGCCAGGACACAGATATGCACTACTTTACTTCTTCACTTGGTGAACGCGAGTATAATGATTAGCCACTTTACTAATATAACTAAGTTCTCATTTTACAGATTTTGATTCGATCAGATAAGTTCTTATTGTACTCATTTTGGCGATTGATTTTTTTGGATATATTTTATTGATTAAAAAAAAATATGGAATCAATCACGAAAAAGAACATTCAAGTTAGACCAACATTGACTTGAAAGTCATATTTAATTTCAAACAAAGCCCATGTATTTAGAAAAAGAGTCAATACAAACTTTACTTGTGAAAGAATACTACTTCAAACCAAGTGTAACCATAGGCAAGTGTCCAAAGGAGAACCGGTATTGGCCTATACTAAGACCAGTGTTAAGGTAAATCACGGAACTCATAACCAAATGATTTATGATTGTAACTTGTAACGATAAAAAAATGTCAGTATTATCCCAGTTCCAAAACGAGGATATCTTATTCCACAACGAACTTACTACTTGTACCAGGTCACACACAACTTTGATCCTAATGAGGATATCTTAGTAGTCCTTATGATCTAGGAAAATCTAAATTTGATGTTCACTATTGAATCATCAGCGGAACCACAGCAGATTCTAATCCATCATGGCCTCTTACAAATTGAAATGTAGAAAGTAAATAGTAAAAACAAAAAATAACTAAGCAACATGAAATCACATATTTCTTTTCAGAGATTTTCAAGAATTCATAGTAACTTAGTACGTTAGCAGGAAAAGTTTCAGCAACAAACTGGTGAATGATTATGCCTTTTGCGATTCCCTTTAACTATAAAACCCGTACAGGGAAATAGGCCAAGTAGTGACCGATATTATCCCTTTTATTTCCCAATTAAAAGATTCAATCAACTTCATGGAAAAGTCGTCTCGTTATCAGTACATCCAACATGAATGATTGATACGATCGAGTCCTAACTTCTTGTCCAAACAATAGAAGTCCATGTTTTTCTTTCAAGAATTAACATTGTACTTGCTTTACTTGAGACTCAGTCAGCACTTGGAGTCTTACTTTATTGTTACAATTTTTTATCAAACTAATATTCTCCTTCACATATTAATAAATTAAATTGCCATAACATCCTCGGGAAGTGAATATAGACACAGGCTTAAATTAAATTAAAGCATGGAAACTGATTGAATCTTTCATACATATAAACCTTTATCCAAACTCCAATCATATTTCCTATCGTGCAGTACTCAGAGAAGCCAAAAATTCTCGGGTTTCTCGTAATTCAAGAGGTGTCGAAAACTCAAACCAAACAGAAGAAAAACACGATAGAAGTAATTGATAAGGGGATACGTGGTTTTATGAAACACCGCAGCAGATTCATCGAGAAGTGAGATAGTTTCAACTTACATACAAGTCCCGTGTTGTCAATATCATATCGATTACAGACTTCGAAATCATTGAGATCAACGCAATCTTCCCATCTCTGGCTGCATGAGCTCCACATATAAGCCACTAGTTACACTCCCAACAAAAAAATTAACAATACAAATAAGAAGCAAAAAATCTATAACCTAATGCAGTTTTTTCTTCAGAAGAACTAACCCCCCAATTTTTTCGCACCGAAACCGATTATTATAAAATAGAAATGAGAAAGTAAATACATCAATTCCGAGCCACATGAATCAGTTTGGACAAAGAAATGTACAGAATTGTAGCCTAAACTCACCGTAGGAAAAGCTTGGGAGTATTAGGAAACGGCAATGTGTAGCAGAAAAGAGCATCTCTCTTCGAAGAAGGATCTGAATCTTCGCCAATTTCGTTCACTATATGGCAGGGTATCAAATTGAATCCATTTCTCGCTCTTCGCGATACTTTATCTAAATTGATTTCTTCTGACGAGTTTTCTGCAAATCCTTTGCTTGTTAGAGAGAGAGAGAGAGAGAGGGAGAGAGAGAGAGAGAGAGGGAGAGAGAGAAAAAGGAGTTTTTTTTATGATGATTAAATTTAAAAATTCGTTGTACATGCTTACCGGGAGTAGATGAAGGACGGCGTTGGATGGCGCGGCGGAGGATTTGCCATCGCAAAGACGAAGGTTTTGGGATGGTGTGTGACTGATCAGTCTCCATTTCTGCCGTTCCCGTTTGGTTGTCGCCACCGCCGGCGACGTCGTTTGGTATTGTGCTGTGAACTTGAAATATAGTAGAAGGGCTTACTGGGGGAATTAGGGATTAATCCCACTTTGCACCCTGAAATCTACCATTTTGGCACTTTGCACCATCGAAACAAATTAATAGCAATTGCACCATCGAAACACAATATATCATGCATAAAGCACCCTAAATAAAATTTTCTTTCAATCAATCGAATAATTTAGTGATAAAAGTTTATTTAATTTTTATTTTGTAAGAAAATATAATTTTTTTTCAATTATTTGGTGTCATTTTTATTTTCTTTCACTTTCTGCGCTTGAAATTAGGCATTAATTTGTCATTTTGCACCCCGAAAAAAATACCAATAAAAAATGAACCAACATTTATTATTCAATTGATGGTGCATTGTAATATTATGATTTGAGGGTGAAAAGTGCTATTATTATTTTTTTTAAGGGTGTAAAGTACGGAAATAGTATATCTCAATGGTACAAAGTAAGATTAAGCCGGGATATTAGTTCATCTTAAATAACTTTCCGAAACGGTGTCGTTTTCCTATAAATTCCGATGAATAAATTAGAAAGCCACGTCATTTCCCCTCTTCTCTCCCTGAAGCATTCATCACCTAAATCCCCAATCAAGAGCGAGCCCTAGTTTTTGTAAATTCCCGTCTCCATTCTCAAATTTGTGAAATTAAAAACCCTATATTCGGGAGTTTTCGTTCCTGAAACGTATTACAATCTTCCAATTTACATAGGAGGCGTATTTGCTAGTTCTCCAACATGCCGGCCACCGCGGGGAGGGTTCGCATGCCAGCGAACAACCGCGTGCACAGCAGCGCCGCCCTACAGACCCACGGCATATGGCAGAGCGCCATTGGGTACGATCCATACGCTCCGAACAAAGAAGACAAAAAGGAAAGCAGATCTTCTCAGAAGACCTCCGTCCCTGAGTCCGACCCCGACGCCGGAGAAAATGCGTACGCCAGTTTCCAGGGTTTACTCGCTCTCGCGCGCGTCACCGGATCCAACGCCGACGAGGCGCGTGGCTGTTGCACGAAGTGCGGGCGAGTCGGTCATTTGACGTTTCAGTGCAGGAATTTTTTGAGCGCCAAGGACGAGGAAGGGAAGGACCTAGGTGCAATCCAAGCTGGGGTTTTTTCTGGTTTGGATAAATTGAGAGGGGAGAGAGTGAAAGCCAAAGGGAAGGGTTTGGTCGAGGGCGATGAGAGTAGTGAAGAGGAGGAGGAGAGTGAAAGCTCCGATTCCGATTATGATTCGGAGATAGAGAGGGCGATAAAGAAAAAATACGGAAAAAGGGTTAGTGGTAAAAGTATCAAGAGTAACGATGATGAGTCTTCGGATGAGGGGAGTCGTAGGGAGATGAGAAAGAGGGAGAAATTGAGGTCGAAGAAAAAGAGTGCCAAGAGAGAGAAAAGTGAGTCTGAGGACGAAGGAAGAAGAAAGAGGAGGAGAGAGAAAGGGAGGAGAAGGGATGAGGATGATGATTCGTCGGATGAAGAAGAAAGCGGACGAGGGCGAAGGAAGAGGAGCAAGAGTAGGAAGGAGAAGAGAAGGAGAAGGAGCCACCGGCATTCAGATGATGATTCATCGGATGATTCTG